ACTTTGTACTGAGTTGGGTGATAGCGCAGAATACCACCTAAGTGCTGTCTCCTCTAAGGTTGTTGAGAACAACCGACATGCTATTGGGTCAGCTACATCTTGTGCCATCATGTTGGTTTGAAATTGTTCCAGATGGTCCTGCGGATCTCCTTTCTCGTTGTACGTTTCAGTTGTAATTTTAACATCTCTAGGGATTGGGGTGTTCATTATACATGGAGTAAACAGATGGAGAATTCGAGAAACTGTCCGAGAATTCCCATGAGAATTCTCATTAGTATTCTTCAATTCTGCACCTTTTTTGTTTTTGTGACCCGAAGGTTCAGGGTCGCTCGTAGAATGTTCCTACACCGGTTCACTGTCACTGGAATTTTCCAGATTTATTTCATTCTCAGGCTCTTTGTCTTTGTCTTTTTCTTGGTTTCTTTCTTTAGCCTTTTGTAACTTTTCAATCGAGCTAAATCTCGATTTTGTTGGGCAATTCTTTTATTTTGTTGCGTGATAAGGTCCAGCAGGTGCTGGTTCGTCGGTGGGTTATCTGAGTGGATGGAAAGTGGTGCCACCGACGAAGCTAATTTTTCGCGTGATGCTGGGGTCTCCTTCCGCTTTCCTTTGGAGCCATTCTGGGACTTGCTTCTGGTGTCAACCATGTTTTAAAATTGAGAAAAGAATGGGTTCTAAATGATGGGCCTATCAGACCAAATATAATATGGGCACCTAATCACACACGGTTGAGACAGAGATGGAGTTCTTTGCCTTTGGGCTTAGAGTTGTTGTTGAGGATTAGTATGCCTCTGTCCTTTGCTATGGCGGTGAATTCGAATGGGGGGTACCTGCGAAGATTCTCCGATGCTTAAGTCAGTATCAGAGTCATGTGTATGTATATGATAATGAAAATAGATTGATGTACCTGGGTGTATATCATCTGCTTATATAGCATTTATGATGCCGCCTTCATGAGGCGGTATGGCTTTTGATTGGCCCTATTTGGGTTGCAGGTCAGATTAGGACCTAAGTAGCCTTATCTCTTTAGTACTAGGTTACCTGAGTAGAGTGGCGGCGAGCTGGAGCTGTCCTCTGTTTATTAGTTTCAAGGCGCGGTTAGCTTGCCTTGGTTCTTAAGTTATCTTCCTTATTTCTGAGGATCTTATATCAAAGGGCGGTTTCATGCGCGATAAGAGCATCGCGTCTTGCCATGCGCAAAGGGGTTATCGCGTCTTGCCTTGTGCGTGATGTTAACCATCGCGCTTTGCTCTGGACCCTTCATAAGATTGGGCTTCCTTGCATATTATTGGGCCTATAATGGGCCTACTATATTTTATTCAGATCAATTACATAGGCATTTATCAACTATGAAATATTTTACATGTATTATGTTAATATTAAAGGTCAAGTAATGTTATTTTACATGTGTCGTGTCAATTAATATAATAAAAAAGTAATGTTAATATCAAAGGTTTTTACATGAGTAATTATCTGTATTATGTTCAAATTATAGATATTCGGGTTTAAAGTTTTTAAAGTTATTTTATATAACATTTTATCTAATGTTCATCAAAATACACTTATAAAAGTGTATAAGACCCATATTTTATTTTTCTTTTCACATGAATCCACATAAATCCCATATACTATTTTCCACATATTTAGATAAATATTATCTAAAATTATTTAAATTAATTTTGATAACTTTAAACCCTTATATTAAACCCCTAACATAACACCAACGCGATCCCTTCCCTGAGATTATATACGAAATATAAAAGTAAAATGGTCCAAAAGGAGATACTGGATCTCCCGTTGAATGGTATAGATCCAAATTGAAAATCATATTTTATTAAAAAAACAAAGTAAAAAAAGGTGGCGGGGGATATTACATCATTTCCATCCGCATGGGGTCAGCTAATCATCAAAGTTACCATAATAAAATCCAATTTTCAAAAGCATATCAGATTTCGTTTGCAAAGCTGCTATGGACAGTGTGTTTAATTGGATGGTATATAAGCTCTCTAGCACCGATACCGACAGGGGACACGTGACCCGACACGATACGACACTCTGACACGTTAATTCTAAAAACTATTACATTTTGACACGTTAGGACACGTTGTGATATTAAATAATTTTTATTTATGTAGTGTATATTATATTTAATATTCAATAATTTAACAAAAAAATAAAGTTAAACTTATAATACTCATCAATTTTGCAAAGAAACATAAGATATTCCAAATATTTATATTAAACTCAATAAAATTATAATCGTAATCTAATGAATCTATTAGTTGGAACTAAAAATGCAACGCAATGCAACCTTTGAACCATTTTTTTAGTTTCTACAATGCGTGTTGGAGTGTCGCAGAGTGTCGAAGTGTCAGAGAGTGTCGAGAAGTGTCGGACACGATACGTCAAGGTCTTTGAAGTGTCGGTACTTCATAGTATATAAGTAAGCATTAAACCTTTTCTTTTTTTCTCCCGATCGAATTCATTAAATCTGCTTTTTAATTCAATGCATTTGAATATAGGTTTAACATTTGTCCTTTTAGATTGATGTCATCTCATTTTAATTTTTAGCATTATATATTATAAGTAGTATATAATTACAGGGTAAAAGATTTATCCAGAGTTAATGAAGATAAGTTATTTTCGGTGAGCCCAAAACGATGTGTTTTGGGATGGAAATCAATGTGTTTTTGTAATTATAATATATTACAGTATTATATTAGTCTTTATCATTATAATTTTGTAATTTTGTAACCTAAAACGACGTCGTTTTGAGCTCACTAGAGATAACTTTATCTTCGATGACTGGAGAAATACTTTTTTCATAATTATAATATAATTTTTTTTTCTCTTCACATCAACTGAAATAACTGAGAAAAAAGAATTTTTTATCTTCATATTATAACTATATGTTATTCATAATATAAAATGTTAAAAATTAAAATGACACAAATTGTGCTATTTAAAAAAGTTTACCATTGTACCAAAAAAAAAAAAGAAATTTACCTTTGAATATATATAATTTGTATATTTCTGCTTTTCAGAAATCAATTTGATGAGTTTTCTCTCAACACATTAGCTTCTTTTTAAATCGTAATTTTAAAAAAAAAAAAAAAAAAAAAAACTCAACTTTCCAACAAATTGAGAACAAATGAGGCCCTTCACAATTATTTGCATTGGGAGGGATGAGAGCTTTGGGATTGAGAAAGTCTCTGTATCTTACTCTCACAACTTTCTTGATCGTGTTGTTATGCTTCCTTCTATATCACTACCCTCCATCGGTTGAAAGGGCTGACGGCAACATGATTCTGCTCAAGCCAAGATCAATTGTAAGCATTAATCTGTAGATTCTTTTTCATTTGATTTCTGTTAATTAGCATCACTACATATATATATATATATAACTACCCATTTATTTATCATTGATTATCGTCTGAATCTTCAAAGCGGTATTTGATTAGGATAAAAACATTGATAAATGGAATGAAATTTTAAGGTGAAACAGTGGCAGAATTATTTTCATCTTTATATAAGTTTACCATCTTTCATTTTAAACATGTTTAAATCATTTATTTATAAATAGTGATGAATTTACATTAGTGAAAGGACATGAACTGTTATATCTATTATTAATTTACCACCAATCACGTAGATGATCTGATACATACAGGGTTATTCCAACTTGATTAGAAATCTTGAGTTCAAGTTGTCCACACCCAACTATACAAAAAACTTGGTAGTTTACGTAAATTCTCATCTCTACAAAATTTTACTAGGATAGATTCTTTTCTTGAAATTTTTTTTTTTTTTTGGGTACAAAAAAGTTATTTTTTATCTGACAGAAACAGTGATATAAAAGACACTTCGGGTGCTTTGGATTTGTTCCAAAAGCAGCAGTGGTCGTGTTCCGGATGGCCCAAGCACTGGAGCGGCCCAGCTGCTCAGGCCCAATCCTCAGCCTTGTTCCGCATCAGCTCTTAGGGCGGACGTGGACCCTCACGACCTCCAAGACTGCAACACGTCCAAGAGATGCACCAAAATGTCCCACCTTGGGACATTAACCACAAAAGGCAGTCGCCATAAGCACTGCAAAAGGAATATGCCCCTTTGCTCAGTCCTGACATCGCCTGATGCAGTGGGTGCAGCGCTGCCATTGTGGCAGCGCCTACCGCGCCTAACACTTCCATCAAGGGAGCGCATCCCAAGGAGGGTTGACCCCCACCTCACCAACCCATACCATTTTCCTTATAAATAGCCCTCATGGGCACGACAGAATCTTATCTTTTATGTACTGTTATTATGCCCGTTTATCTTAAGCCATATACTTGTTATCCACCATTGATATTTGCTTGCTTATACTTGGAGCAATACCCTCTAGCCTGGTCATTACCTCAGCTAGGGGTACCATCCATACAGTAACATTATCCTCAAAGGGTACATAGTGGGCTTATAGATTCCAACGGTACATTGGCGCCGTCTGTGGGAACTATAAACTTATATTCCCATTCTCTTACCAAAGATCCATCTGACGGATTATTTCCATTTTTACTACCAAACAACCGCCGGACGCTTCTTGCAACTCTACATGGTTGTCACCACCAGGAGAGCGGAACACGCCAAGGCCATGACGCCAGAAGGACACATACAGACAGTACAACAAGCTCCCTTCCATCCATGCAGTCATCCCCAGCCGAGCAGGCCGCTGGAGCGGTCCAACCTCCTGTACTACAAACCATAGGCCCACAGTTGCCAACGATTGATGCTAGGATCGCCCTGCAACATCATCAAGTACCCATGTGCGAGATGCCGGGAGAAAATGTTGTCCTAAACCAGCCACCACCCCCCGGAGTTCATTTTGGAATGCCATTTCCAGTAGCTGTCCCACGACCTGCATATCTCACCCGTCCTCCGTTACCAGCCCAAAGTCAACCACTGCCAGTATACAGTGACCGCCAGGTACCCATGGTCGCCCATACCTTCCTAGGCCATACATGCATAACATGGCAATTCCTTTTCAGCTACCTCACCAAGCTGGTTTCCCTTTCCATGGTTACGCCATGCAACCCCATAACGCAGCCATTCCACAACCTCAGGCATCTTGTCCGAATCCTAACCAACAACCATATGGCGCTCAACAAGCTTTCCACCAAGCTCCAGCCCTCTCATACTCCGTTGAAGCCCCACAAATGCCTCATCCACAACAAGAACGTATCAGAATAATGCCTGCTCACACGTCAGGGCGTAACAAGCCTTTGACCGATAGCCTGAGGCTAACTCCCATACCCCTCGGTTTCAAGGGTCCCTCTAACATCACCACATATGTTGGTGATACCGATTCGTTTGAGTGGATCCAGAAATTCGAAGCAGCAATGACACTCCACGGCGAAACGAATCTACTCATGTGCAGAACTTTCCCAACATTGTTAGGAGGGAGAGCCCTTACTTGGTACACCACCCTGCCAACAGGCAGCATTGCGTCATGGGACGATTTAGCAAGCAAGTTTCAGTCCCATTTTGCAACTAGTCGCCCCGTGCCCAAATCTGTGCACGCCCTTGAAAAGGTCCGACAGCATTCTGGCGAGACCCTCCGGACCTTCCTAGATCGTTTTGATAAAGAGGCCTTACAAGTGCAAGGCCTAGACCCCAAAGTACAGGTGCATATACTCTTGTCAGGCTTGCGACAAGGAGAGTTCGCTTACGAGCTCGCACGACATGAAATTACTGACTTAGAGGAAGTCAAGAAAAAGGCGCAAGAATTTATGAGAATTGAAGAATACAAAGGGAGTCGAGCTAGTGACTCCCACAGTCAAGAAAAGGCGATCAACAAGGGAAGGAACCACGTTGATGAAAGTCGGAAAGGATACCAAGCATCCTCACGTTCCACCCGCCCTTCGGGGCGAGACACATCCGAACGACGGTCACACAGTGTCTTACAAACAGACTACAAAGAGGATCCCAAAAGCAGCCAACGGTCCCAGCAGCCAAGCAAAGAGGTCGCGCCATACTGCAAGTTTCATCGCAGTAGTGGCCACAGCACAGAGGAATGCAGGCGCCTCAAGGACGAGATTGACGAACTCATCAAAGGCGGTACGCAAAAACGCGGAGGAGATAATACTCACTTCTCCAGATCAGGCGGGCGATACCGTGACCGAAGCAAGTCGCCAGAAAGGAGGAAAACCAATCAGTCCAACACTCGGTCCCGCCAAGAACGAGGCCACAGAGAAGACTCACCTCAAAGAACCAGAACACAGGCAAGCCCGAGCCGAGGAGGAAGACGCGTTGAAGAAGAAGAAGACTCTGCAGCCATCAAGCACGAAGTAATTAATATGATCTCTGGAGTTTTAATCGGCGGGGGAGAAACATCTAACGCTAGGAAGAAGCATCTAACACAATGCCTGGCGGTTGCAGGAAAGGTGATCAGCAAGGATAAAGGGCACCCTGGACCACCCAGGCAAAACATAGTTTGGGATAGTAGCGACTTGGGGGATGTTCTCCCTGGGCATGACGACCCACTTGTCATCCAAGCGATAATCGCCAATTATGGCATCATCCGTGTATTTGTTGACCACGGCAGCTCAGCCGATATTTTATTATTGACATGTTTCAAAGCATTAGGTTTCACAATTAACGATTTAACTCCTGTCGCAGGTGAACTTTCAGGTTTCAATGCTACCACCACCAAGCCTTTGGGGGTGATAAACTTGTGTCTCTCGCTTGGAACGCCGCCAACGTCACGATCTGCAGACATCCAATTCCTAGTGCTGGATACACCATCCGCTTACAACGCCATCCTAGGCAGGAGGATGTTTGCAGCCTTTGAGGCGAGCGTCTCACACCCCCACCTGGCAATGAAGTTCATAGCCAGAGATAATAACATAGCCATTGTGCGAGGAGATCAAATTGTTGCCCGAAGTTGTTACAACATTTCTTTGCGGCCAATGACAAAGGTTACCTTCAAAGAAGAAGTGACACCCCAGCAGAAGGAGATATCCCCAGCGGAAGGAAATCCCGGCAGAAGGGGGAAAGAACACAACCAGTGCTTCTTGGTAGATTTTGACGCCAGGGACGATCCTAGAGTGGAGCACGCCAGACCCACACCTGACGGAGCGCTAGAACATGTGGTGTTGGGTGAGGCAGATCACCAGACGACAACAGTCGGGGCGACCATCGACCCGAAGGTCAAAGACAAGCTGATCCAGCTGTTAAAAGCAAATAAAGATTTGTTCGCCTGGAAACCATCGGATATGCCAGGTATTGACCCAAACATATGCTGCCACCGTTTGTCGGTGGATCCTAAAGCAAAACCAGTTTCGCAAAAGAAAAGGAAATTTAGCTTCGACCGCCAGAAAGTCATCGATGAAGAAATCAAGAGGCTCCATGACGCCGGATTCATAAGGGAAATCAAATACACAACGTGGTTGTCCAATCCAGTGTTAGTGAAGAAACCAAATGGTGCGTGGCGAATGTGCGTTGACTACACTGACCTCAACAAAGTCTGTCCCAAGGACGCCTATCCTTTCCCGAGCATCGACCAGTTGGTTGACAACGCCTCAGGTTTCCAAATGTTGTCTTTTATGGACGCATATTCAGGATATAATCAAATTCCGTTGCTGGAGGAAGATCAAGACAAAACGGCGTTCATTACTCAGAACGCCAACTACTGTTATACAATTATGCCCTTTGGTTTGAAAAACGCGGGCGCCACGTATCAAAGGATGATGAATGAGGTGTTCAGAGATCTGATCGGCAATTGCATCGAAGTTTACATTGATGACATGATCGTCAAATCCAAAACGCCAGACCAGCATTTAGCAGATCTCCAGGGCGTCTTCGGAAGACTGAGAAAGTTTAACATGCGCCTCAACCCCAGCAAGTGCGCTTTTGGGGTTCCCGCGGGAAAATTCCTAGGCTTCATGCTTACGGAGCGAGGCATAGAGGTCAACGCAGACAAGTGTAAGGCGATCATTGAAATGCGAAGCCCGCAAACCATCAAGGAGGTTCAACAACTGACTGGAAGGTTAGTAGCCCTCACCCATTTTCTGGCAAACTCGGCACACAAATCTCTCCCCCTTTTTAGCTTGCTTAAGAAGGGGACCACCTTTCAGTGGTCAGAAAAATGTGAGAGCGCCTTTCAAGAATTCAAAAGGGCTCTCTTATGCCCACCAGTACTCACCAAACCAGACCACGACGAGATGTTGTATTTGTACCTCGTCGTTGGAACCGAAGCGATCAGCGCATCTCTAGTCAAAGAGTCAAAAGAAGGACAAAGGCCCGTCTATTTTATTAGCAAAGTTTTGCAAGGAGCCGAGCTTCGGTACCAACAAGTTGAAAAGGTGGCATTGACACTCATCTTTGCTGCAAGGCGATTAATATTTCCAGTGCCATCCAATCACTGTCAGAACAAATCAGCCAATCCGTCAAGTTTTACATAAGCCAGACTTGGCCGGAAGAATGATGTCCTGGGCGATAGAACTGTCAGAATACCAAATCGCCTATGAACCGAGGACAACCATTAAGGCTCAAGCCTTGACAGATTTCCTCGCAGAAATGATGCAAAGCCCCCCCTTGAGTATCATGCAACAGAAATGCCTTCAGCCGGAGTCTGGAAACTATATGTCGATGGCTCATCCAACGCCAAAGGGTCGGGTGCAGGAATGATAATTGAAAACCCAGATGGTGTAGCACTCGAACATTCTTTGTCTTTTGACTTCAACGCCACAAACAACCAAGCAGAATATGAGGCCATGATAGATGGCCTGCTCCAAGCAAAAGAAATGGGCGCCAGACGCCTCAAAGTCTTCACTGACTCCCAGCTAGTGACCTTCCAAATCTCAGGTGAATACCAAACCAAAGGCCCATTGATGTGCAGGTACCTAGAGAAGGTCAAAGAATTGATTGAAAGCTTTGAAGCCGTTGAAGTGGAGCATATAAGGCGAGCTGAGAATACCCGGGCAGATATCCTCGCCAAATTGGCCAGCACCAAAAGCCCAGGAAACAACCGATCAGTAATCCAGCATAACATGCCAAGCCCATACATCGTGATGAGCATTTCAAACCCTCCAGCGGAGGTCGCCGAAGAAACCTGGACAACGCCAATCATCAACTACTTGGCTGAATGAGTGTTACCCCTAGATAGAAAAGAAGGTCAAAAGCTAGTACGGCGGTGCGTACATTTCTGCCTAGTGAAAGGATGCTTATACAAGCGTGGACTCTCTTCCCCACTCCTGAAATGTCTGAATCCTAGTGATGTGCAATACGTGATAGAAGAAATCCATGAAGGGATTAACGACCACCACATGGGCGGTCACTCGTTAGTAAAGAAGGCACTAAGAGCAGGATTTTACTGGCCCACCATGGAGCACGACGCCCACGAGCACGTCAGGAAGTGCGAGAAGTGTCAGAGATTCGCAGATGTATACAGAGCACCACCAGAAGAGCTAACGTCAATCACCTCGCCATGGCCCTTCTACAAATGGGGAATTGACATTCTGGGCCCTTTCCCCATGGCGGCTGGTCGAGTCCAATGGTTGATAGTCGTCATTGACTACTTCACCAAATGGGTAGAAGCGGAACCTCTAGCCACTATTACGTCCCAAAAAGAAAGGAGATTCTTCTGGAGAAGCATTGTCTACCGATTCGGCATCCCCAGAGAAGTCATCACAGATAACGGTACTCAATTTACCAATGCCAAATTCCAGGTGCTGATGAGCAGCCTACAGATCCGACATCATTACTCCGCAGTAGAACACCCACAATCCAATGGCTTGGTGGAGTCGGCCAACAAAATGTTGGGAAAGGGAATCAAGAAGATAGTGGAAGCACAGGAATGAGCTTGGTTAGACAACCTCGACAACGTCCTATGGGGATACAGGACAACCGTCCAGTCTGCCACCAATGAAACGCCTTTCAGGCTGACCTACGGTATCGAAGCTATGATTCCGGCAGAAATTGGTGAACCCTCTTGGCGATGCGAGAACGTGATCGAGGTCGTCAACACTCAAAATTTGCGGGAAGCTTTGGACTTGCTAGATGAGATTAGAGGATGTGCCGCCAAGTCTGATCACCAGACGAAAGAGAGATCAGCTACTAAACACAACAAGAAGGTCATTCCGTGAAGTTTTGAAGAAAAAGACCTAGTTCTCAGAAGGGCAGACATTGGAAACAAGAATGCCCGAGAAGGAAAGTTCGCCCCAAACTGGGAAGGTCCTTATCGGGTTGCAAACAAACTGGGGAAAAGATCTTACTCCCTCGAGACACTAGAAGGAAAGGCAATCCCAAGGGCATGGAATGCGGACAAACTCAAGAAGTATTATAGTTGAATTGACATGTAACATCGCCTGCACTCTTTTCCTTCCCTATGTTTTTATCTCAATGGATTTTACTGGGGAAGGTTTTTAACGAGGCATGGATTTCCAATAAATCTAAATGTCAGTCTCCCTACAATATCTTTGTCAAAATAACTTGATCAACTAACGATATGGTTCTCACCCCCGCCACAGTTGGACTGGGATGGTTCTCACCCCCAGCCAATGCCCAACAAGCGAGATAGTTCTCACCCTCGCCGCAGTTGGACTGGGATGGTCCTCACCCCCAGCCAACGCCCAACAAGCGAGATGGTTCTCACCCTCGCCGCAGTTGGACTGGGATGGTCCTCTCCCCCAGCCAACGCCAACCAAGCGAGATGGTTCTCACCCTCGCCGCAGTTGGACTCGGATGGTCCTCACCCCCATCCAACGCCCAACAAGCGAGATGGTTCTCACCCTCGCTGCAGTTGGACTGGGATGGTCCTCACCCCCAGCCAACGTCCAACAAGCGAGATTGTTCTCACCCTCGCCGCAGTTGAACTGGGATTATCCTCACCCCCAGCCAACGCCCAACAAGCGAGATGGTTCTCACCCTCGCCGCAGTTGGACTGGGATGGTTCTCACCCCCAACCAACGCCCAACAAGCGAGATGGTTCTCACCCTCGCCGCAGTTGGACTGGGATGGTCCTAACCCCCAGCCAACGCCCAACAAGCGAGATGGTTCTCACCCTCGCCGCAGTTGGACTGGGATGGTCCTCACCCCCAGCCAACGCCCAACAAGCGAGATGGTTCTCACCCTCGCCGCAGTTGGACTGGGATGGTCCTCACCCCCAGACAACGCCCAACAACCAGGATGGTTCTAACCCCTGCCGCGGGTGGACTGGGATGATCTTCACCCCAGCCAACGCCCTAGAATCAAACTTAGTTCTCAGGAAAAACAATAAAAGATAAAGTGGTCCTTTAAATAAAGCTGGAAAGATGACAAGTGCAAAAGAAAATCCATTCATTGATATTGATAGTTTTTAAACATAAAAGGCCGCGCTTGACATACCAACCGCGCCAAAGAAAAAGAAAAAAAAGTCTTAAGTCCTAAAGGAATGTCGCCAGAACATCTCAAACATCCTGCGTCTGAACGGTCGAATCCTCTTCAACTGCTGAGGCAACCACCACTGGCGCCTGATCATTCTTAACCTGCTCAGCAGTCACGTCATCGGTACCATCGCCATTCCCAACAAGATCGGCTGACGTAACACGCCCATCATCATCTCGCGTATGATCATTATCCGTGTCAGTCATAGGAAACACGTCGCGCGCTCCTTCATCGTCATCAGTCTCTGGCGCCGTTTCAATCACCTTCACAACATCGCCTTCAAGGCGCTTTACAATCTGGCCATCCTCAACATTGTAAGACGGATCCAGGCCAGTCAAGTCAGCACCAGGATACCTAACGGCAACCTGTTGAAGGGCGTTGTTGAAAGAATCATACATCAGATCGGCCAGAGCCTTTTCCAACTTTTCCACTTGCCCAGAAGCCTTCTTATAATCATCATCCCTGGCGTGGAGGCTCCCGTGCGCAGCAAATAAATCTGAAGATAATTGATCTCTCTCTGCTTGAAGAATGTCTTTTTCCTTCTTCAAATCCTCCACTGATTGGCTCAGATTGCTTTTATCGACGGTTAATAGTTTCACCGCATCCTCTGCCGTCTTTAACATCGCAAACAGAGACTTTGAAGAAGCTTTCCCATCAGCAACTTCTTTGCCAAGGCGCCCTACGTCAGCGGTCAAGCTATCAACCTGCCGTTCCAAATCAACAAGACGATCCTCTTGTTGGGAACACCGTTCATCAAAATCCAGCGCAATCTCCTGTTGGCCTAGGATACAGCCAATAATCACTTTGGTGCAGTCCATATACTGCTGGCGGTCGAAACGCGCAGGCACTACCATCTTGGGACGCCTGATATTGGGGAATCCGTGGATAAGGTCCCTCTCCGACAGGCTGAGCGCCCTGCTCACAGGAATTTCAGAAAGAGGAGGTGAACCTACAGCCTCAGATGGCCCACGAGGGTCGTCATCCCCTCCATCGCCTGAAGCATTGTTAATTTCCTGGTCACTTTCAGGAGCGTCGTCCCGAGTCAGACTGTCCCCAGAAGGCTCAGTGCGTCTCGTCTGGAAAGATCTGGGAGGAGTCAAGCTTGCTGCCGCACCTCCTAATCCAGACCCAAATGTTGATTCACTGGCAGAAGAATGGCCAGTCACGCCAATGGATTCTTTAATAATGGGGTGATTAGCCCGTTTCTGAAGTTCACCAGCTGGGATGTCAGCAGCATAACAAACTTTCTTCTTTTTTGGTCTCACCTCTTTGTCCTTCCCCTTGTCCACGCCTTTCCTTTTAGAAGGAAGGATGGTTTGAAGCTGAGGTGCCACCCCCTACTTGGCTCTCAACTTAGCAGCCGCGTCGCGAGCAAGCTTCAACGCATCAAGCGCCATGCTTCCAACTGCAAACAGAGAAAAAAGTTAGCACTAAACAATTACAAACAAGTGAAGAAAATCTAGATCATTGCAAAGGAAAGTAAAACTCAGAACGCCTTCACACCTCCATGACACAACACCTGCTTCGTAGGCCACCGGTCCAAAAACCCTTTCACTTCCACAAACCAATCAACCATCTTCACCTCCTCAGGAGTCAAACTCCTAAAAGTAGAAGAGTACTGACTGGCGGGTATCTCGTAATGGGCCTTAGTCCAGTACAAGGGAAACTGGCACTCTCCACTCGCCGAATCTACGAAAAAGGAAGCTCTCTCTCGCCCAACGTGGGTTCAATCCAGAAAAATGTGTGTTTCCAGTTCTTGTACGAATTGGCGTATTGAGAAAAAATCACTCCTAGCGCAGTTCCCGCCTTCAACGACACCAGAGATCGCCCATCCAAAATACTGACATATGCTTTCAAAGACCCGAACGAACGCCCAGGCATTTGGATGAAGCTGATAGGGTGCAACCTGCAAGTGGGATAATACCCTCATCTCAAACTCAGTAAGCGGAAAATCTCACTTTCTGGTCAGTAAAATGAGTCTTGTAAACCATGAAACGCCACCGATGCTTCGCCATGTCGCTAGGTTCGTCACAGGCCC